GAGGGAGAGCGTTGGTGCCGTGGCTGTTGCTTGCATTCGCTGCAGGTGTTGCTGCTCATGTCTTCTCTACTAGCACACCTCGTCCTGGCTGCAGGTCTTTGCCTTTTCACGGTAAGTCCCTGTTGCCGTTGTTGCTGCTGCTTGCGCTGCCGTCGTGTCTGTGTTTAGCTGCTTCCCCTGTTGCTGGCGTTCCAGCTGCCTCAAGCGTTACTGCTGTTTAGGCGCTGTTGCTGTTCAAGACTTTTAGCAGGTGTTGCTGCTGCTGCTGAGCACTGGGGTACCTTACGAAACCTGAGCAATACAGCAGCGTTGCTGTTTTTTCCCGTTCTCTCCGCAGGCAGCCCCCCAGTATGCATCCTTCGGCAACCAGACGTTTGTCCCGCAAGTGAGCCGCTTGGTGCAACCCATCACTTGAGCTGTTAGTTAGCTGTTCCGGCTAGTTAGCTAATCAAGTTACCTAGTCCACCTACCTAACTGTTCTAGATATATAGCGAGGCAAGCTAGCTAGCTAGTCCAGCTAGCCAGCAAACCAAGCTAACTAGCCGGTCGAGCTGGCTAGCCCGCGGAGGCGTCTAGCAGGCCAGTAAAATAACGAACCGCGTTGCGGACCCTATCGAGCTTCTCGAGGGGGCTTTGAACACCTATTTAGTTACTGTGTGTCAGTGGGTTGTTGGTTGTGCTTCTGCTGCTGTTGGTGTTGCTCCAGAACGGGTCAGATGCCATAACATGTTCGCTGCATGCAGCAGCAGCGGGCACCTCGTGTCGCCTGACTGTGTTTGCTGCTGCTCTTTCCCGAGTGGCCTTCGGTGAGCAGCGCTCTAACAACACCGTCTACGATCTGCTGCAGTTGTATTCAACTTTGGGTATAACTGTTTTGGGGTATATTGGGCTGGGGGCACGTGCGTTTTGTGTCTTCTAACTGGTGCAGCGACTCCGTTGCTCGCCTCGTTGCTATACTGCAGCAATTGGTGCTTCCTCAGTAAGCCGCTTCCCGAGTGAACTACGATGTTCACGATTTATTGCCAAATTTTTAACTTAATCTCCTGTGGGGCTTGCCGTTGCATGCACAATTGCCGCCCGAGGGTGTTTGTTGGCTATTTGGTTTGTATTCGTTGTATCGTTTTGCCTTTTGCTCGCGTGTGCTTGCTCCGCGCCAGGCGGCTTCCTGCACTGCTGCTGAAAAATGTACTCGTAAATGTACTCGTATGTACCAATAATTGTTCGTGCAAATAAACAGGAGCATGCAACACATACCATATGCAGTTACATCATATACACATATAAGCGTATACACGCGTGAGCCTACCTATGTTTTTGCCCATTTCTGTTGGTAGTTACAAGTGGATAAATCGTCGTGCATTTGCATACTGCATGAATGCACGCATCCGTGCGTGTATTTATACACATTGTATATTGTTGCGTGCTTGTATCTTTCCTGCAGTCGGGGTCCTGCTATGCTTGATATATGTAGCTGCTTGCCGGCGAGCGGTGCCCTCCCACTCGGGCGCGTGGGACTCTCAGCAGCAGCGAACGACAGCAGGAGCAGCAGCAAGAGCAGCAGCAGGTGACCTAGACGACTTGGCGGTGGTAGATGAATCCGCTCGGCTGATAGGTGTGTAAGAACAAACCGTTAATGTTTTTTTTGTTTCCAGTAGAACAAGGGGACAGTCGCTGCATCTCCATCGCAGACTGTCGAAGGGCTCAACAGACACAAAAACTGTGTTTTAGGGTTTGGCGTTAAAGATTCACTTGGCACGAGCACCTTAGCTTCCCCATGCAACTCCAGTTCTAGTGCCTATCCAGCCAAATAAAACACCAACAAATTACCTATAATCCGAGATAAAACAGTAATTGTCTGCTAGAGTTGGGCATTATGCCGGTAATTAGCAAGCAAACTGCTTCCTTAGACAGCGCTTGGCTTTCGTTAGTTGTATATGCACTCTGCGCCCGATTAAATTGGAGGGGGAGGGGCGGGGAGGGAAGGGAGCGGGGTAAAACAGACACATTCGAAATGACATCCCCCAGAGAGCCACACGGCACTACGCTGCTTTTGCATGAGCTGTGCAGACGTACAGCTTCCCTTGTGGCTCGCCCACTCTAGTAGAGCCAATAGTCGCTGACTGAACTGCAACAGAGCCCATGTCATGCCGTCCTTGTTTTGTTCTGGGCGGGCTGCTCGTTATGCTGTTTCCTTAGTCCACAACCTGAGGCTTGCAGGCGTGTTGGAGCGGTTGGAGGGCGGTATATATTTTTACTACCAACGCTCCAGTCC